TAGAAAAAAAAAGATATAAACTTTTAATTGATAGCTTACTTTGAATGTTCCATCAGCGAACCAATGTTTATTTTGCTTCAGAATCGATAAATTTGTTTTTGTTGTAAAGATAATTAAATTTTTGTCTTCGTGCAAGATGAAGTCTTCATCGCGATACGTCTTTCTTAATTTTTCTGGTAAACAACCATCGGCATCGACTGTTTCAACAGTACGCTGTCGTCGAATCATTAGCATAAGTGCTTCATTTTTTGGAAGTTCACCAGCAGCACTCAACGAATACGTACGCAAAGCAGAATGAATAATGGAGCTGGTTGATTCATCTGTTGTTACAGCACGAGCTTTAATTTCATCTTTTAATTGAATAGCAGGCACACGATCAGGTTGTGAAGCATGACAGTGGGCTGTTGGTTGTGAGAGAAATACGTCCATAGATAAATTGGTATGACATCGAGCTTAATAGATCAATAATTTTTGTTTTAATTGACTGATAGTAAATGTTAACTTACCTTTACAATCTCGGTTCTGACAACAAAAGATCAATTTCGTCGATGTTGTACGTTCTACAGTGTAGATGTAACCTTCGTGATGAATCATTGGTTTTCCTTTTACAGAAAGAAGTTTTTCGATTTGAGACATTTTGATTAAAGAGTAGTTCGCAGTGAGGGTTGATATTGAAAAATGAAATGTATTTTTTTTTCTGGCTTCATATTTAAGAATATTATTTTATTATTTATCTTTAGCCTGGATTATGTTAAAATTGATTAACCGAGCAACAAATCTAATTATTCATCGTTCACTTTAGACCCATTGCGATTATATATGAATATTCGTATTGATCCGCTTTCTCAATTAGAGTTATTATTGTCGGAATTATCATTCGTCTATTTTAATTGTACATGTTTCATAAAATTTTTCATTTATTTTATTTCAATTGGTTGTACAAAAAAAATTCATTAATTAAGTGAGATACAACAAGTAGAAAGGAAGAGAACGAGAGTAATTACTCTGTGACGAACAGAACGAAAGAATTTTTTTTTCTGCGACGAACAGAACGGAAGAATTTTTTTTCTGCGACGAACAGAACGCGACAAAATGTTATGCGACGAAGTGATCGTGCGACGAAATGATTGCGACGAAGTGTCGTGCGACGAAGTGAACGGTCACCCCCACATCCACACACCCGCACTCCATCTGCTAAATGAAATTTTTTTATATCGTTCCTATCGTAAATGAGTGTGGGTGTTACTTTCTTTTCAGTCACACCCACATTGTACGTTATAAACGAATAGCCGTGATCGAATAGCATCAAGTTAGAGCAATGAATAAATGGATGCTTGTCGGACGCAGAAGATTTGAAGAAACTCGTTCGTGTGGGTGTGAATGTGGGTGGGTGGGTGGGTGAGTGTGGGTGTGGGGTGTGGGTGAGTATGGATGTGGGTGGGTGTGGGATGTGGGGTATGGGTGTGGATGTGGGTGGGCGTAGACATGGGTGGGTGTGGGTGGGCGTAGACATGGGTGGGTGTGGGTGGGCGTAGACATGGGTGGGTGTGGACGTGGGTGGGCGGGGCTTTGGGGTGTGGGTGCGGCTGCGGGTGGGTGGTGAGTGTCGATGTGAGTGGGTGTGGACGTGAGTGAAGAGACAGTAACGACCCACACCCATACCCACATCCACACCCACACTCACACACCCACACCCTCTCGCACAACCCTAACACAAAATGGCACACATAATCACACCAGATGCGACTACAGTGAACCGCATTTCATTGTTCATGTCTACCAGAAAATCATATATATATACAAAAGCCACATGTATGGGTGCATCGAAAGGCGCCTCATGCATCGCCACTAACACACTGTGACGCGCACGAACTCGCAGCAAGTGTAGACGCAGGGAAAGCAGTTCCACTAGCTAAGAATAACATTAAATCGCACAAACCCATAATCACATCAGATCAGGCGATGGTGAAGACTGTTAGACGAAACGCGACTTAGCCGAAATTCCGCACACATCATTACATCAGATGAGCCTTACGCAGAAGGGACTCTTAGCTGTGAGAGGATGTTGCTATGAGTATACGTGAAGATTAAAACACCTACACCCACACCCTCAAGATAGTTGCTGCTAACAGGATTTTGTGGTTTATTGATAAATGTGGTTCAATTATTTTAATTTACAAATCATTATCAATGCAAAATTCAACCATCAAAAAACTCAACTATTATGGATCGTTTCGAAATCGAATTCTAAATCTGTATACGAATATGATTCTATACATATATGTGATTTTTATAAATAAATCTAGATTTCAAAAATAGTCAAAGATGATTATAAACTTTTTCTGTGAAATTTTCAGACGTTGAAAATAAATACTTTATCAATAATGGCATATCAATAAATAAGAAAGACATAACAAATTATTCATAAGAAAGAGAACCATTATGGAAACAATAGCATAAAATAATCTGTATATAATCACTTCTGTGAATGATTGAGAATGTACCAAGACTAACAATCACAATATCGTTTTTATACTGGTCTTATTCCAGTAGCATATTTTTGAGTCTAATACTTCACCATGTTTGCCTGATCATTAGAGAATTTTCGTTCATAAGTTTGTAAACTTTTATAAGAATAGAATATCATTTTGATCAGAAGATTACCTCAGTAGAAAATTTCATGCTACTTGAGTCCATAAGAAATAAATTTCTTCCAATTATTATCTGTTTGGCATTGATCAAGAGCAATTCAGACAATGGATACTGATATTCATAGGAGAAATACGCGTGTAGACATTTCTTCTTGTCGTCACTTCATGGAGATTTTCTTCCATTTACAAATTCAAATGACTCAGAATTACCGAGAATTTTGAAATAACATACGCATGGCGCTAATAGTGGAACTGTGATGATAATTTCTATCCTAGTATTTTTTTGTAATTTAGGAGATTATTTTAATTTTGCTTTAATATTTTAAAATAAATTAAAATTTTTGATGACAAATAACAGTAAGATAATCTTTCATATACGATTGGTGCATGTTGGCAGTTTGCGTCATCTACGCGTTTCTTCTCTCTCCTTACAATATAAATACAACCTTTTTTTTTCATCCTTTACTCACTCATCAGCATTATTACAGTTCCAAAGAAGCATTATATCAAACGGGATAATATCTGGTAAAATACTTCCTATATTCCATATGTAAGTACGTCATTTTTTCGTGATCACAATGAATCATATAACATAGACTTTATCGAACAAGATTGCTTATTTCACATTCTCAAGCTACTTAGAGGTTCGGACATCGTGAAGATGTTGTATGATGACCAGTGAACATATCTAACTCGATCTTTCGTTGCTATTTACGATCAAAGACAGACCGGAAAGTATCCGGACACATTCGTATATTCTTTTATTCCGTAATTTAGAAGAAACAAAACATATAATTTTATTTCGAGCTTTTATCAATATATGAATGTTAGACTGACTGACTGACTAACGTATATATGTATGATGATCTTTCTAAAAGCACTGTATCAATTGCCACGTCCTTCTTTAAGCGAACTCGATTCATTGGAAATCATGCCAATCAATAAGTTTTGTTCTGCTCATTCTGGTGTTAATGAAAAATCAAATTTTCTCATAAAGAAAAACTGTTCCATCACTCGAGTTGATAGTATTGTAAGCAGAGGAAATTGTACTCTGAAAACCATAAGTACCGGAGAAAATCTCAGAATATAACGAATTTAAGTCAAGTCAAGAATCATAATACTATAGTGACACTTATACGTACAAGTATATTGTATGCTTTGCTTTGTCTACATTATATAATTGTGCATCCTTCAGTTCAAAACATATTTACATATACAACTACAACTGGCTTAATTAATTTTTCGTTACAATATGATATTTACAGTACACGAAAGTACGACCCCATCTATTCCAAGAGTTTTTCTCAGTACATATGAGAGTTCTATGTTTGTTTCAGTGTATACTGTTTTACACTTGAATTTATCATATTCTCAAATAAATGAAAGTTTGTATGATTTTATATCTCTTCTAGTTCAATAAAACATGGTTCTCGGTGATCTTGGTCAACGTCTATCATCAGCATTGCGACAGTTAAGCAAGGAAACAGTTATCAATGAAAAAGTTTTTGATGACACTTTAGGAAAAATTTGTCGAGCTTTATTAGAAGCTGATGTCAATATTCGTTTAGTTAAAAGATTACGTGAAAACGTCAAGTAAGACACTTCATATTATGAAATATTTGAAAAAAAGACTTAACAAAGCTTTATTTGTACGAAGTTTTTACACGTAAATTAATGCAAACATATTTAACCCTTTGAGTACGGGATTATTTTTATATAGTCGAAGGAATGAAGAAGGGCTGATAGGCAAACGGCTCCATAAAAGTTTTTTGATTCGAAACCCCAACTATATTATACCAAACGAAAGGGCTCGGTAAGTTGAGCACTTTTTATGACGGGACTTGATCTTTTAAATGAAACCATGAAGAGTTCTGAGTAAGTTAACTTGTAAAATTTTAGTCATTTTCATGCCCAGAACTTTTCATGATTTTATTTAAAGGTCCAGATTTCGTCACAAAAAGTGTTCAACTCATCAAACTCTTTCGTTTGGCATAATATATTGGGGTATCGAATAAAAAAAAAACTTTTATAGAATTAATTTATCTATTACTCCTCCTTCGTCCTTTTGACTATATAAAAATAATCTCGTAATGAACGAATCAAGAGACAAACGATAATCATCAATAATTATAGACAATCTTAACGCATAAATATTCTAAACACAAATCTCCTTGCAATTTGTATCATTAAGTAATCAACAGACCTTGTTTTTAAAAGTTACTTAGGTTCCAAAATATCCGGACGCGAATTCGTATCGCCCGTACTCAAAGGGTTAATATTTCGGAAGACTCAAGCTTTAAAAGTTATACAATCAAAAGAATCACTTTCACGATTTCATGTTGCGATTATTGTCATTTTTTATTATTTAAGAGTCACTTATTAGATTACTTTTTTTGTCTATTTGAATAGGCAAGCAATAAATTTAGAAGAAATAGCTGTTGGTTTAAATAAACGTCAATTAATTCTACAAGTTGTTATTAAAGAACTCATTCGAGTATGACAAAATAAATTAATTACTCAAAAAGGCATAATCTTGTTTATTTTCTCTGTTGTTCACAGTTAATTGATTTTGAAGTTAAACCATGGGAACCAGTTAAAAACAAATGTAATATTGTTATGTTTGTTGGTTTACAAGGTAGTGGAAAGACAACAACATGTACAAAAGTAAGATTTCATATTTCTATAAATTTCAGTTTCTTATTTGTATTTTAGTATGCTTATTATTATATGAAACATGGTTGGAAAACAGCTTTAGTATGTGCTGATACATTTCGTGCTGGTGCTTTTGATCAATTACAACAGAATGCATCAAAAGTACGAATACCATTTTATGGCAGGTAAATCGTTTTCTTTTTATGAAATAATTATAAATTGTAATTTTGAATTTAGTTATACAGAAAGTGATCCAGTAGTTGTTGCTATGAATGGTGTTGAAATATTTCGTAAGGATAAGTTCGAATTAATCATTGTTGATACAAGTGGTCGACATGCACAAGAAGAATCATTATTCGAAGAAATGCTGGAAATTTCAAATAGTATTGTAAGATTAAATTTACATGAATTCTATTTCTATTTTTATTTTTCTATGTAGAAACCCGATAATATTATTTTCGTAATAGATGCTAGTATTGGTCAAGCTTGCGAATTACATGTATGTCATTATTTCTTTTGTTTTTTCTTGTTTGATTGATATTTATAATTTTAAGGCACAAGCATTCAAATCAAAAGTTGATATCGGTTCAATTATTGTTACCAAACTTGATGGTCATGCTAAAGGTGGTGGAGCTCTTAGTGCGTATGTTATTTTATGTGACATAGATTTGACAAAATATAATGATTGATTGTGTTAGGATTGCTACAACGAAAAGTCCAATTATATTTATCGGTACAGGTGAATATTTTGATGACTTTGAAGTATTTAAAACGAAACCATTCATTGATAAATTACTGGGTATTGGTGATATACAAGGTTTATATGATAAAATTATTAGTTTGAATTCCGAACACGATAAATCATTTATTATTAATGCAAAAGACGGTAAATTAAATAATAAATATATTGAAATTTTTTTTTGTTTCTGATCTGTATGAACATACTACGGACAATATAGATTGTCACTGAAATGTTTTCGTTTTTTTCTAGTTGTGAGTTTTTATAGGAACAGCAATAATATTTAGTGTATATTTCTGTTGATATGATAATGATGAGAAAACTTTTTAATGTTCTAAATTATTGATTCAGTGAAGAATACACAACAACTTTTGTGATTCAATATAAATTCAGAGAAGAATTGATTTTCAGAGTGATTACACAAAACAGTCGTGTATAACTTTTCAAGAAATATTTTATAGCTAATTATAGAAGTACTGTGTTTTAGTTTATAATAGAAAATACATTCGAGGAAATCGAGTATTTGCTATAAAATACGAATAATGATCAAATATACAGTATATATATTTATTTAGGTCAATTTACATTGCGTAATATGTATGAACAATTTCAAAATTTTATGAAAATGGGTTCATTTGGACAAGTTATAGTTAGTTTGAAAACAATATCTATTAATTAAAATAATTTGTTTGATTTTTATGAAATAGAGTATGATTCCTGGGTTTGGCACAGAATTTATGTCAAAGAATGATGAACAGAAATCACAAGCACGTTTGAAAAAAATGATGTGTATTATGGACAGTATGAATGACATTGGTAAGTAAAAGTTTTAGTCAAAAAGTTATGTTTTTTTTCGATTAACTATATTCAAGAACTTGATCATATTGATGGAGCAAAGCTTTTTAAAAGTCAACCTGGCCGTTATACTCGAGTAGCAAATGGTGCTGGTGTATCATTATGTGATGTAAAAGATTTAATAGTACAATATTCGCAATTTTACAAAATGATGGAACGAATGAAAGGTTTATCTAAGTTCGGTAATATGCAGAGAAATATTAATTCAATAAACATGCAAAGAATAACCAGTCAAATGAGTGAATTAATTGATCCAGGAGTATTGAGTCATATGGGTGAGTTTTTCTATTTTGTTTTTACTAAACGGCTCGTTTATTGAATAATTAGGTGGTACATCGGGTTTATCATCAATGATACGACAACTTCAACAAAGTAGTAGGACAGATAGATCATGAAGTGGTGACAAATAATTCGAATTCCAATCGTTTTTATCTTTGGATTTTACAAACTGAATTTTTTTCTTCATAAATGATAAAAACTTGTGATGATGTTTATTTATTTGTTGTTGGTATTTCAAGTTTTTAAGTTGCTACGACTGCCTTTTTTTTATTATATATCTCAATCGTTTTTGAATTGATCTTGTAAAAACTAAGACATACGAAAAATATTAAATAACTGGCTAAAAGCCGAACGCACTTGAAAAACAGTACGATCCTATGGGATACTGATATGTAGAACTCATAAATAGAGACTACTAGAGATTTAGATTATATTTTTTTTCATATACCTGTGAACTCTGGCCTATATGGGCATCGATATTCACTGGAGTTTCACAATACTTCTAAATGTCCGATGATGGATATGGATGAAGCAAAGAAACACTATCATTTCGGCACGGACGCCCTCACCCTAACATCATCAATAGTCAGAGTAATATATCGCAAACTTCGAGGAAAAACGGAGAACCGTAGTATGACTTGCACTTCTGCAATAGCTAGTTCTAATCTTTAAAGAATTCGACTGTGTCTTATGTATAGATCTAGATTAGATTTTCATACTGAGCTGATAGTGATATTTTCACGATTGTAAACAGAAGATGTACGCTATGAATTTTGTCGTAGAGTGTTTCATTTGAGACTGATGGGTGCATTTAAGTTACAATTAGTTTGTAATAAAAATGTTTCAATGCGAATAAATAATGTTGTAGTAAGTGTACGATAGTGTAATATGAAATCGAAAAATTTGCGAAAGAACATATTGTAATTCGAAGTTGTTCTAAACTAGTAGGTACGTATCGAAGTAGTGATTCTATGAATTCGAATAAACCTACTGAGTGTACATATTCAATTTCTAGATTTCGAGGTGCACGATAAATATCCATATTATTTGCAGTGACATCCTCGACAAGGGTGGGGTGTGGGTATAAGTGTAGTCATCGGTCAACACCCCACACCCACATCCAGACATTTCTTGTAATGATATAAGTCGACAATAGATGATGTTGTAGCCATTCTACAAGTTCATCTTCTTTGTTGGTCACTTGCTCATTCCATTCGTCATCTTCACATAGAACATGTAATGCTCGTAGATTGATCATTCGTTTGATTAGAACAAGTATACATGTTCGATTTTCCACAGAAATTGAAAACCGTTCACATTGAAAGTCTAGTGATGAACTGGTTAACATAATACATTGTTCATAGGTAGAGTATTGATGAAAATTGAGTTGTGATATGGATGCATTCTTATATTCAACAGATGAACTTAACCAAGTCGATCCTTCAAAAGTTAATGAATGTAAACCTGATGCATTGTCGAGCAATGATTGAAGTTGATTATCGATCAATTCACAATGTTTATTCGAAGATACATTAAGAATAATTAATTGTTTTAATTGTGAAACTAAAGAATAGAAATAGTTATTAATCGGTAGTTGAATTGAAAGATGTCGAATATTAAGAAATTGATAATCAGATACAAAAAAGCATTGATATAAAGCAAGTTCGTAAATTAAATGTCTAATACAATCATACAATTGCTGATCATTATTCTGAACAGAATTTGTTTTTGATTGAACTGAAAAACTCAATTGAAAATCGTGGAAAGCGAATGGTAAAGTGTAAAGATACGCAGTCTTATCGTGTGGACTTCAATCACATCGAACAATCCAATGATGTTCATCCAACCAAAATAGACTTCGAAAAGAGTCGAGTATTTCATTAACTTGTTCTTCATTAGTATGATCATGTTTCTTACTGGAAAATTTCATTCGAAATCTCAATTGTTTAATATGAATCAAATTCATACGAATGATTTCTTCCTATTTTTTTCCATCAATATAAGTATTCTTTAAATCTACTTTCAAATGACATAAATTCGGTAACCATTCCAGAAATTTTTCTACCAAATTATACCAAGCAAAGGCAAATGATAGATTTAATACCATTAGGGATGATATCGTTGATAATGTCTGCTCAAATCCTGACATCGATTGGAAATCAATGGTCAAAGATCGAAGATTTGGTGTATGTTGCAGTAAGCAATCCATATCATTCAATGATATGTCAATTCCCAACATCGATAGATGTTCTAGAGTCATTGAAAACACTGTTGGTGGAGGAAAACACATTTGATGTTCAAAATAAATATTCAAGCAACAATGAGTGAGTTTTGGCAAACTCCATATATGATTCACAAAAAGTAGAGCATATGTTTGATCAAATGTAAACCAGCATTGCTTGAAGCTTAAATAAGTAAGTTGGAAACATTGACGTAAATCCTCTAGCAGTTTATGTATTATTAGACCAGTATGAAAAGAATAGAAGGTAAATGAATGCAAATGAATGAATTGACCAAGATTAAGATTATGAGTATAGAATCGTTGAATTTGGTTAGGAATGCCATTCTCATCCGAGAGGCAGAGTGAAGATATGTGATCGATCATTAGCAAAAAATGTTGTCCACAAACAGTGTCAAAATAATTTTATTAATACTGATCGAAAGTCCAATCCATGAATTTGCAAATACTGAATGAGCAGTTGATCAAAGCGAGCATTGAGATTGAGAAATGCGTGAAGAAGTTGAGCAGAGTAGTAAGATATTCAAATAGATCGAGTATTAATTTGTTAGCCAATCGTTCTAAACTCATGTCGTGATTGTGTCGTTCTCACATCACTTATAGACAAGAGAATCGATTAAAATTTTGAAAGAATTGTGTGTAAAGTGCTAACAAAAAAGGAAAAATAATCACGTACTGCTATGGCTCACTCAGTTGCTTGTTTCTCACCTTCTTTTTTTACTCCTCTGTTTCATCAGTTTCATATTTGCTTTCGTTCTCATATTCAGAGAAAAAAGAACGCGACATTCAACTTTTAAAGTTTGAGATGTAGAATGCTCCTACCCATGTAAATACTTTTTGCATCGAAACGTATTTGAATTGCGGTTGATTTGCGTTCGAATCCCAAGGAACGAATGCATTCAGACTCGATTTACTACAGAAACGTGTCTGCCCGCGTCCCAAATGAAATTTGGAAAATTTTATAAATAAATCTCAGTCCATCTCAGATTCAAATTGAGCTGCTATCGATATAATGTTATGATGGTCTTAGCCTACCCAGGCGAATGGATTGAATAATTACCTTAAGCGACGGTAGTCGGATTTGAACAAGTGTGGGTATAGGTGTGGATATCCCCTGATAGATACAAATACCCACACCAACACCTATACCCTATTTTTTTGCTATCTAAAATTGGCTCATTCTCCAGCAGGTCATATAACAGACATGAGAAAGAATGAAAAACTGTTTTTAATGCAAGTACGAGAAATGCATAGATCGAAAGTTAATCTATAAGTAATGTTATTTGATATAAGGGCTTAACTAATAGATAAAAAGCAACAAAAAAATGGCACAATTTTATTAAAAACGATGTGGCAAAATATTATTTTCCTTGTCTATCTTTACTTCTGTAAAACAATTGTTTATAGTAAAATAATCACTCCTGATGATCCAAGTACTCTTCAATCGGCTATTATTTCTGCTAATCAAGAAGAAGGATTAGATTCTGTTACACTTGCACCAGGTATCTACCGTATTCCATTCAATAGTCATCCAAATGCGAATATTTTATTGACAAATTTAAGAAATTTTGTAATTAATGCTAATAATGTCACTTTTCTAATGTTAGACAATCGAAAACGAGGTATTGTTTTTTATAATTGTTACAATGTCACTATGCGTGGTGTAATGACAATTCGAAATGATATTATACCATTTTCTCAAGGTTATATTGAATCTATTGATCAAAAATCATTTGTAATAAATATTCATGATGGTTATCCAACTACACTTGATAATACTATATATTTTCCTAAAGCTTCAACTTATTATATATTTGATCGAAATACACGTCGATTGAAAGATCAAACATATGATTATTATAATCGAAATATTATTCGAATTGATCAACGTCGATTTCGAGTGATGTTCGATAATAATCTTGGACAAGAAATTGTAATTGGTGATTTAGTTTCAATGCGTGGTTCAGGTGATTTTGGAATCATTTGTGACATTTGTGAATTAATGCAATTTATTGATATTAATATTGAATTTGCTGGTGGATTTGCTTGGTTTGAAACTGGTGGAAAAGGAAATAATCGATATGAACGAATAAGTGCTCAGCCTGGACCAAAACCTTTAGGTGCAACTGAAGAACCTTTAATGAGTGCAAATGCAGATGGATTCCATTCAGCTGGTGTTTCACACGGACCAACAATCATCAATTCTTTTTTTACTCGAATGCCCGATGATGGTATTGCTATACATGGTGAATATCAAATGATTAGACAAATCAATCAAAATGTAATCATATGTATGAGAAGATGGGCAGGTATACCATATGCAATAGGTGATCGTGCAGCTGTTGTTGGTGAAGATGGTATTCCTCGAGGTGAAGCTCGTGTTCAACAACTTCGAACTTTACCTGATGATTATCTTTCATCGATTGATTCACCTTGGCCTCACTTTCAAAATAATCATTATTATTTTGAATTAGAATTGGACACAAATTTGAATGGAACTATTAGTTCTAATGATTTTATTTCGAATATTGAGAGTACTGGTTCTGGTTATGTTTTAAAAGAAAATGTTATTCTTAATCATCGTGCTCGTGGAATGTTATTAAAAGCACATGATGGACTTATTGAATCAAACTTAATTAATGGAAGTTCAATATCTGGTCTTGTTATGCAACCAGAATTTTGGTGGGGTGAAGGAAATTATGCAGAAAGAGTTATTATTCGAAATAATACTTTAATTAGATGTGGTTATGCCACAACGGGATCTTGGACTCAACAAGCAGGTGTTTTAACTATTTATGGAACAGGAACATCATCAGTTGCTTATGGACATCATACAATAACTATTGAAAATAATTTCTTTATAGATAATGATGGTGTACAAATGGTACTTGATGGATTAAAAAATGTTTTAATTAAAAGAAATTATTTTACCAATGCACAACATAAAGTAAATAATCGTGGAAGTGATCATGGTATAGATGGTGGAGCATTAGTACATATCAATCGAGCTCAATCATTGACATTGGAAGATAATCGAGCATGGTGTTTAGGTGCTGCTCATAGTAAACCTTTACAAGTGACATATTTATCCACACAAATAATTGGTATGCTCGATGGAATTATTGTAGACAACCATTGTTGATTGAAATTTCGTCTAAAATAAAAAGATCATGAATAAAAAATAATTCAAGAATGATTATGAGTCTGTTATGAAACTAAGCTAATACATACGTTTCACAGAGGTATAATTCATAGATGTTGTTTTAGTTATATATGCTTTATTCATCATTTCGTTTTATGTTGAAAAATTCATCCTCTGACTAAATAACAATCAGAAATTTTATCTAAACGGCATATATCACGACAAGAAGTTCGAATTCTTTGATTTACATATTATCGTCAGCAGCTAAAGATCTGTTTTTCTTTAGCCAAAAGAGTACCTTTTTTTTCTCGTTCGATAAGAATTTTGCCATACTGCTAGAAATGTTTCAACCACCCTACAACTTCATTTTTTTCTTCTCGTGCTTTACCTGTAAAGAACATCAAAAAAACATAACATGTGCCCTAAATAATATTCGTTCCATTCAGAAAAGCAGCTTTTCTTCAATCTGTTACTATAAAAAGAATTGGCAAGCAACTGTTGTGAAAGCAATTAGGAAGTGAGAGCATGATGACATTTACCAGCTAGATATGAGAACTTGACATATGTCCACGGGGGGAAAAGCGAGACTTCATCTACTTCAAAAAAATTCGAAGTACAATTGAAGTACAGTGAAATACGATGAAGTGCGAAATCTCCCTTTTTCCCCCTTGACAGGGGCGGCGCGAAGAGCTCAGAGCAGGGGGGGGGGTATTATGAAAAATGGGAGAAAATAGAAAAAAGTCTCTAAATTGTAAGTACCTAGTACCTTTTTTTTACTAGTGTTTTTGAAAGCAAGTAGATAGGTAGATTCTTCTGTTATCAATTACAAAAAATGGAGAACATTGTAATAAAGGTTCTTCAGAACCGGAAGAAGTGCAAAATATATCTTCTCGGAAGTTGAAAAATTTTTCAGACATTTTCTCCAAACTTGGAGAAATTTTGAGACATTTTTTCCAAAATTGAAGAAATTTTGGGACATTTTCTCATTAACTGGAGAAATTTTAAGACATTTTCTCTCAAATCGGAGAAGTTTTGAGACATTTTCTTCAAAATTCGAGGAATTTTAAGACATTCTGTCCCAAATTGAAGAAAGTCTGAGACATTTCCTCATTGGTTGGGGAAATTTTAAGACATTTTCTCTCAAATCGGAGAAGTTTTGAGACATTTTTTCCAAAATCGAAGAAGTTTTTGGAACGTATTCTCACCAACTCGAAAAATTTTGAGACATTTTCTGCAAAATTCAAGAAATTTTGAGATATCCTCTCACCAACTAGAGAATTTTTAAGATATTTTCTGCCAAATTGAAGAAATTTTGAGACATTTTCTCCAAAATTAGAGCAATTTTGGGACATTTTCTCATTGACTGGAGAAATTTTAAGGCATTTTCTACCAAAATGGAGTAATTTTGGGACAGTTTTTCTCAAAATCGGAGAAAGCTGCAGTCGAACTTTCCAAAGCAGGGGGGGGTACCCTCCCCCAACCCCCCCCGCTCGCGCCGCCCCTGCCCCTTGACCACAATACACGAAGATAGAATGAAAAAAAGCACTGAATTACTTTGTAAATAACAAAAAGGATAAAAATAATATTTCTAAAAACATTTCTAAAAAGATATTTAATCGAAGCACCACGAGTTTGAAATAAAATTTTAAGCGAAACATTTTTAGTGCATTTACAGATGCCATTTCCGCTTTCGATTTTGGATAAGGTCTTAAGTTCTTATCGACTTACGGTACTGTGATACAAGCTAAAATCTTTAGACATGGCAATGTTTGACGGCATTTGCCGATACAAAAGCCCAAAAAGCTATTAAATGTCTTTAATATCAAAGAGCATCTGACGCTCTTTCGAATATCATATTTAAAAATAATTGAATTTCTACACAAAAAAAAGATAAAGAGTTCAAATAAGCGGTAGGCGAAACTTTTCATACAGTAATCATGATATTTCATACTAAAGTCAGTTTTGAAAATTATTAGTAGCCAAAATGTAGCCCGTCTTCTCCTTTTTCCATTGATATAAATTTAGTTCTTTTTGAACATTTGTGGAAAAAAATAACTCAATTTAAAGCATCATCCAATCAAAATTGTCCAGCAGAAATTGACTGCTACTGATTGTTATATATACAGCTCCATTATAACTCAACAGTTATGGATGAAATTTTATGTGGATATAGTAGAGACGATGTCTGCAATTTTGACACAAGCCGCGTCTCAAAAGCTAACCTTATAAGATAGTTATAAGAAAAACAAAATCATCCAAAAAATTTTGTCCACTATTGTATGAATGAATAATTCATTGTACATTTAAGGGTTATGGGTGTGGATAAAGAGAAGTGAACGCCCACACCCACATTCAATTGATCGCTTCGTGAAAAATGTAGCCATTTTTTATACTTATATTTCACGGTGTGTCAGCTACCATGGATCTTTATTCGTGTCGTAAACGTATGAAAGAGAAGTAAAAAAAAGCACTTTTATCTATTATCTAAATGGGTTATTTGCTCAATCAAAGACACTGAATTTCAAACAATATTAATCTAATAATTTTATGTTATATACTTAAACGTAGCTATCGTGCTTATATTGTTTTTAATCAAGAGTTTATTGTAAATATAAAATCTTGTTTACTCAATTAAAGTGTAAATTATGTACAAATGTGGCTTCTCTATACATTTGGTTCACATAATTTAAACTTTGATTCTTTTTTTTTGCTGCCAGAAGATATGACAATCGAATTTTTTTAATATTTTAATATATTTTACAATACAAGAAAAACAAGAAATATGTTCTTTGACACAATTATTCAAATAGAACAGATATTAAATTAAAAAGACGACTAGTTATAGAAATTTGGAAAATGTATCAGCTATCATATGAACACGAACTAATCAAATGTCAGCTCTTGTCTTCAGTTCCACTCAAAACAGAACTGATCTGTTGATGACAAACACAGATTTTTTAATAAGCTGTATTCCGAGCAGTATTGACATTCAAACAAAGTATTGTGATTCTTTTATCGTATTTCTAATATGATTTAATGTGATTATGATTCTTCATACACAAAACTTATGTTTTTCCACGAAAAACACTATTTTAGTTCTTATGTATTGATAAGCGAACATTGTCTTTTTTCACATAGTGAAATTTTTTTAAGACTGGAAGATAAATGTTTTCATTATTCATTCCCTAAATATGTTACTTGCATTATACTAAGCTTCGTCAAAGTTTAATTTATGTTAAAAGATGATAAAACTCTTACAAAAAAATTCCGTGAATAAGAAGGGTGTGGGTGTGGATGTGGGTGTAGGTCGCTGTACGTGTGCGTTTGTGCCTGTCTGTTCCCTTCGCTCACAATGATACCCACACCCCGCACCCTCCATTTTCCTTCATGCTAGGCCTTCTGCACACAGTGAACATGAAACAATACGATTATTATATTTGAGACAAAAGTTTTTCTGCTACATTATGAATCAATTGTTTGAGCTTATTTCCATCATTCGATAATATTTCTACAATGCTTTGCACCGGGAATCTGCCACAATCTTTGCAACAGATAAGTGGTTTAGCACATCATCGAACAATAGAAGAAGATCCAATGAAGCTTATGATGCACCTTTTAGAACTAGCTGAAAATGATCCAGGTATTATTTACCTTTAATGTTTTCTCCAAATCTAGCTAAATCAGTCAATGCACTAACAAAACAAACATCACATTACATGTATATAGAAAGGCAAACCATCCCATCAATAAGTAAATCAATAATGAAAAAAACGGTGTAGATTTTCTGTGTGAGTGTTCGCGTGAATGTTACCGAAATAAAGACATTCATTCAAACCCAGATCCGCCAACATTCAGAATCCTAGGAATTATGGACGTCATTTAATCCTTTCGAAGCGATGTCGCCCACCGGTGGGCGACGCTATAGTTTAACCAGAAACTGTATAGAAAAGCACTTTCTTTTGCTTTTTTCTTAGGCAGAAGGTTAAACACAATGTGAATTCTGCTCTGCCCTGGATATGTTTTTTGATTCTTTTATTCCATAGCATGATATTTCTTATTAAAACAAACAAGATAAAAGACTTAACTACAGTCAGAACAAAAGATTTTTATTTTCTTTGCTGCCACATAGCTCTTTTCTCTTGATTGTGGTTCCTTTTCTTTCTCATAGCAGTCTACAGTGTCTGCGAACATTGCGCGCAGATTCTTCTTTTTCTGCAAGCTTATGATCAGCTAGTTTACACTTCGAATTACTTGTTGATTGTTGCTTCATACCAAGTTTCAGCATCTCAAATGATGTACTAAGATGTAACGATCGCACAAGATTCACAAAACTGTAGCATGGTCATATGGCTTGTGTCATAATTTTCTTTGTAAATCAAGTAGACGTTAATTGTTGCCGTTCCAAATATCAATTCAGATGTCACCTATTGATATCATTTCATGGATCGCCTGAGGAATGTATAGTATAGGGGTGTCGTATTAGCATTAGTATTAGCATTAATTTAATACTAACACCAATATTCTTGTTTTCCGTTCCTAAGAAAAAGTATTTGAATTTGTATTGATTAATATAAGGTTAGAC